TTTTTTTTTTCAACGTTTATTTATTTTTGGGACAGAGAGAGACAGAGCATGAACGGGGGAGGGGCAGAGAGAGAGGGAGACACAGAATCGGAAACAGGCTCCAGGCTCTGAGCCATCAGCCCAGAGCCCGACGCGGGGCTCGAACTCACGGACTGCGAGATCGTGACCTGGCTGAAGTCGGACGCTCAACCGACTGCGCCACCCAGGCGCCCCAAGAGTTTGTTTTTTAAATCATAGTCTTAACCCAGAAGAGGCTCTAAATACTCATTTAGCTCAACTCCTCAAACCCTTTTCTGGTTCAAATTCTCAGCAACACAACCAAGAAACCAGAAAAAAGCCCCAAATAAGTGTTTCAAATTTACACACTGTAGAGCCTCTTGAAAATCCCACATCAAATCTGCTTACTTTTACTTGACATAATTCTAAACAGTTGTTAGACTCTTCTAGGTCAAATAGATTACAGGTAGGAAATTTGAGATGTGCTACCTGAGGGAAGACACCAACAGCAGTAGCACATGACATCTCATAAGGACAAGAGTTTGAAAAGTGTAACAAGCAGATGGGTGCTACTCTTTACAGAGAGAGATTGCGTGTGGCTGAGTGAAGCCTGAGGATACATTATATAAATAAATTTATAAACCTGTTTCTGAAAATACGCTGAATCGTTTTAGTTATACTCTTTTGAGAAAGCAAGGATGAAACTGGCAAAAAAAATGTTAACACTTTTGTTTGTTTTCACATAGATGGAATACACCATTACCATCTTATGTTAAGTGAAGTATTACGGGAGTAGTTATCTCAGGATTTTGTCAGCAAATTAAACTCTGAGAAAATTTATATGATGTCCAACTTAAAAGAGCATTGTATTAAATATGACCTCTTTTGAAATGGGCCCCTGATTACAGTAGTTAGTCAAGAAGAATTATCTCCTTATATCCTTCCATTTTGTTTCCAGGTATCGTGATTTCCGGTACCCACCTGGACACCCACAAGAGTATAAACACAACATCTATTACTGGCATGTGATTGCAGCCAAGTTGGCTTTTATCATTGTCATGGAGGTAGGAGACGTCTACTTTGAAATAGTCGATAAGGTAGTATATTTGCAGACCTTTTGTTAGCATTCAGTGTTGCCAACTCTGACTTCAAATACATTCTTATCTCTTGCTAATAATTAGTTTAGGACATGTGTTAATCAAATTTAACATGAGAATGCCCATAATGCTCTAATAAAATGAAATTGGCTGTCTGCTTGAAAAGGTGAGCGCATGTTTGCTAAGGGGATTCAGTCCCTCTCAATTCAGTATTGAGTGCCTTTTTTTTTTTTTTTTAATTTGGGGCACAGGGGCTGCATGATGGACTGTGAAGGGTCTTATTTAAGACTACTAAGATGTGATCTCTGCTCTCGAGAAACTTTCTCAGGGCACATCACATTATGGCAGCAGCGTGAGTGCTACAGCTCCAGAGAACACATTTGTGTTCTAGACAGTAAGGAGAAAGAAAGGTGAGGCTAGCTGTATCTGTTCCTTTGCATCAGCAAAGAAAATGCTTTTCCAGAAGCCTTCAGAGCAGACTTCCACCTGTATCACACTGGCAATAACTAGAGCTCACGGTTCCTCCCAGCAGTAAAGTAGGCTGGGGCAGGAGGTATTTGGTTTGCTCTGAACAAAATGAGAATCTGTTAGCAAGAAAAAAGTGTGGGATAGGCTGCCTGCCTGGCGTTGACAATTTTTCTAGTATTGTTTGGTAGCTATTAAACAAACATCAACAGAAGAAGAAACAATTCATCATTAGCTCACCAGCATCAGTGGTTTCCTGTAGTATCTGCTATATCAGCAAGAATCACTAGTTTATATTCAAATATGGAGTTGCCAATGTATTTACACTGCTGCTTCTGATATCAGGTTTGACTAGATACCGTGAGGGGCCATTTCACTACAAGACATTTAGAATAAGCTTAAATCTCCCAGAAGGGGGAGAGCAGGGAGGACAAGGAACAGGAAGAAGGACAGAACTTCAAGGAGGGGCCGTGGTGTGGCTCCGGGGAAGAGCCATTACACGATGTCAGCATGTGGGAGGGCCCCCAGCTGGACGCACGCCGCCAGGGAGTGTGGGAGTGAGCGAGGGTGCAGGTGGACTCAGAGTCCCTGGACGAGGAGGACCGCTGAGCCCTAGCAGCCAGGCCCACCCGTCACACGTAGATGCCCAGGCCTGCCTCCACCCCCACTGGCCACCTGTGGAGCAGAGACCTGTTGGGGAAGCACTGCGCTTCCCCTTTGTGTCTGTCCCCTGGGCTGTTATTCTAACTCCTGTGATTTCCAGCTAATAATGAAATGAGTATAAAGGGTTTTTTTAATGAGAAAAGAAAATGTCCTTTGCACTTTTGAACTCACTGGAAGGAAGGAGAATCCACAAAGAGGAGGGGGAAAGGTGTGGTGGTCAAAATAGAACAAGTGTGGTTATCAGTGATGCCATCTACAGGCTCAGGAGACCCAGCAGTGGGTCAGAAGTGAGGTGGACCAGCTGAGCTAGAGACTCTTGGATTCATCCAGGGGCCCCCAAAGGGCTCAATTTGCCTCATCATATAAGGAAATGTGTATATTCTCCGCAGAAAAAAGTGTCCTCAATTTAGACCACAGTTTTTTCTCAGATTGAAATAATCAAATGTGAACTTCCAAAGATCAACAATAACCAGGGGAAATAAGAAAAACCAGGAGTGAGATTCAGCCAAAAAAAGAAAAGCAACTAATTTGGACCCTCAATAACTTCAAGAGTATCTGTTATCAGATAAGGAATGACCACGTTTAAACAAAGAAATGACAGATTCAAAAATGAGCAAATAATAAGAAACTAAAAAAGTACTAGGCAATTTTGAAAAATATATAGTTGAAATGAAAAAAATTAACATATGCATTAAACAGAAGTTTGAAAACAGAATGAATTGGGAGATAGGTCTGAAAAAAATTATTCCCAACACCTCACAGGGAGAGAAGAAAGTGGAAAATACAGAAAAGAGATTAAGCAATTTTCAAAAGATTCACAGAAGAAAAAAACCATGGATCATAGAGGAGAGGCAATTTGAAGAGTTAATGGCTCAAACTCTTCCCAAATAAATGACAGGTGTCTGTGAACAGAGCAGAAAGCACAACAGACATCAAGAAGAATACAGAAATCCGTGCTTCCACAGATTGGGACAGAAGTGCAGCTCACCAACGATAAGATCATAAAAGTGCCCAGAGAACAAGGACAGATGACTGATCGGGAAAATTATAATTGGAGCGAGAGTAGACTGTAACAGCAACACAGAGGTGAGAAGAGAGTAGTCGAATCTCTTCAAAATGCTAAAGAAGATAACTGTAAACCTAGAATTATAGCAAAACTCTGAGTTACTGAAAAATCTTTCCATAATGAAAACACTGGGCCATATGGTTTTACAGGAGAGCAATACCATACTTCCTAGAACAGATCGTTTTCGTTTCCTCCAGAGATTAGAAAGCGGAAACACTCTCCAACTCCTTATACATCTTAAAATCAGACAGGAGAAAGAGAAAGGGAAATTCTAAACCAGTCTCACTCATTACATAGACGCAAAGATCTTCCTAAAATGCGCCAATTGAATCTAGCAATATACTTTTTTTAAGTTTATTTATTTTGAGAGCGAGTGAGAGAGAGCATGCGTGCAAGCAGGGGGAAAGGCAGAGAATCTAAAGCAGGCTCTGTGCTGCCAGCACAGAGCTTGATGCAGGGCTCAATCCCACAAACCATGAAACCATGTCCTGAGCCAAGGTCAAGAGTCAGACACCTTACTGACTGAGCCACCCAGGTGCCCCAGAATCTAGCAATCTACTTCTTTTTTTTTTTTTTTTCAACGTTTATTTTTATTTTTGGGACAGAGAGAGACAGAGCATGAACGGGGGAGGGGCAGAGAGAGAGGGAGACACAGAATCGGAAACAGGCTCCAGGCTCTGAGCCATCAGCCCAGAGCCCGACGCGGGGCTCGAACTCACGGACCGCGAGATCGTGACCTGGCTGAAGTCGGACGCTCAACCGACTGCGCCACCCAGGCGCCCCGCAATCTACTTCTTAAAGATGACATCAGACCACATTGGTTTATCCCAGAAATATCAGGGTGACATAACGTAGAAAATCCACCTATCTATAAATATTACCTACCTCAGAAATAGATAGAAAATAAAAACCTCTCTTGCCCACAATATTGTTTGCCTCTTCACTGTATAATTTCCATAATTGAGACACACTAGTACCTCTCATCTCGAATATTCTCCACCCTCATATTACCTAGTGTATCGAAGCATTTGACACAGAAGCTGATCATTCTCTCCTCCTTGAAGTTACTGTTACTCCTCACTTGGCTCCCAGGCAAACACTTTTTTTTTTTTTTTTTTTTTTGCCTTTTCTCTTACCTTAAGTCCCTTCTTAATTGCATTGCTAGTCCCTTCCTTCTCTTAGTGATCCTGGGGCTCATTCCTTGGTTGTCATCTTTTCTCTCTCCTCACAGCCTTGATGATCTCATGCAGTCCGTTGGCTTTAAATGCCATCTATATGCCAGTGACTCACAATATATGTATATAGATATATAGATATCTCCGGAACATCTCTCTCCTGAACTCAACCCATGAATCCAAATGCCCACTTGACCTTTCTGCTTGGATATCTAACACATAAATCTACTGCCCCAAGTGCCCATATTTTCTTAAATTCAGTTGGAATGTTCTCTCTGTCCTGCCCTAAATGTTCTGTCCACAGTGAGTCTGCCCCCTCTCAGTCACGGCAGTTCCATGTCACTGCTTGCTCAGGGTAGAATTCTTGGGAGTCCCCCCACTTACTCCACATACAGTCCTGTTGGCTTTTCCTTTGAAAGTACATCACAGATCTGAACACTTCTTACCAACTCTGCTGCTACCACCAGGTTGGTAATTAGGCCATTTTTGGCCTGACTTAGGGCCGCAGTCTGCTAACTGGGCTCCCTACTGCCTTCATATGTCACGGAGTAAAAGCCAAAGTCCTCACTGTGACACGCAAGGCCTCACACAGTCTAGCCAAGCTCTGTTATCACTCTCAAGTCACCTTTCCTCACCCGCTCCACTCCTGCCTTGCCATTACTTGAAATATAGCCTGTAGGCTTTCGTCACATAGACTCTGCACTGGCTGTTCCCTCTGCTTCGAATGTCTTGCCTCTTGATTTCTGCATGGCTGTTTCCCTCACCTCCTTAAAGTCTTTGCTCATTGAGGCATATCCAGACTAATCTGTATGAACTCTATATGAAATTTGCCTCCCATATAACACAAACTCTTACCACTTTAACACCATGTACAACTTATTTATGTTTAACTCTGTTTATTGTATCTTATCTATCTCCTTGCTAGGTCAGAGACTTGTGAGTACTGAACAAATAAAAAAGTCTTCAACGTCATTAGTCATCAGGGAAATGTAAAGTAATAAGACCAAAGTGAAAGCCCATTTTATAATCTCTGTGTTGGTTTAAAAAAAAAAAAATTGATGACAAGTGCTGTCAAGAATATACAGCAAGGGGCGCCTGGGTAGCTCAGTCGGTTAAGCATCTGACATGGGCTTAGGTCATGATCTCACAGTTCATGAGTTCAAGTCCTGCATCGGGCTCTGTGCTGACAGCTCAGAGCCTGGAGCCTGCTTCAGATTCTATGTCTCCCTCTCTCTCTCTGCCCCTCTCCTGCTCGTGTTCTGTCTCTCTCAAAAATAAACATTTTTTAACACTTAAAAAAAAAATAGAGAGCAAATGAAACTATTACACACTGCTGGTGGGTGTGGAAGCTGGTTTAACTGGTTTGGAAAATACTTTGGTACCATCTTGGAAATTTAAACATTCATGTAACCTAGAGTCTTGGCAGTTATACTCCTAGGTCATGCCCTTGAGAAACTCTCACAGATATCCCCCAGAATCCAAGTGCACAAACATTCCCAACATCATTTCTCTAATACAAACACTAGAAACAAGCGCAATACGTTTTGATGGGGGAATGGATAAATTATAGCGTATGCAAACAGGAGAATATTAAGCAGAATTGGTAATGAATGGACTATAGTTAATGTACAATAACACTGATGAATCTTCGAAACTAGTTTTAAAACGAAAAAACAATTTTCCAAAGACTGCCATACTTTTTTATAAAGCTCAAATCAAGACTAAACAATATATTCCTGTGGGATATATACATATTTGTTAAGCTCGTTCTCAAAAATAAGATGATACAGATATACTCACACATAGGGTAGTGTTAACCTTTGGGGAAGAGCTCCCGGAATGAGCTAGGAAAGGAACGTCTCCAAAAATACTACAGCATTGGCAGTGTCATGGTGAGTGTCAGAGACATTAGACACATTATCTTCTACATATCAAATAGTATTCTTGCAATTTTTAAAGTAACAATGGAGCTCGTGGGTGGAGGCACATCGCACGGGAGAGATTGGATGTGTCTGTAGAATGCCCAGCCCCGTGTCCAGATCTGCTGCCAGATGATCTGCAATGGAAGGAACTCTGGGTTCCCCTCCATTTCGTTGCGGCTGACCTTTTTCTTCTTCTCTCCCACAGCACATCATCTACTCTGTGAAATTTTTTATCTCCTATGCAATTCCAGATGTATCCAAAAGCACGAAGAGCAAGATCAAGAGAGAAAAATACCTAACGCAAAAGCTTCTTCACGAGAATCACCTCAAAGATGTGACAAAAAATATGGGGGTCATAGCTGAGAGGATGGTGGAAGTGGTAGATAACAATTTACGACCCAAATTAGAATAAGAGCTTTATGTTCTGAGAAGCACTTTACAGAATTTAACTCCGTCAAAATATATTATGAATCACTAATGAGGATGTCTGAGTGAAAACACTTTGGCAAATAGGAGTCTTAGCTATTGCCATTTTCACATAGATTATTTTTCGGTTTCAGCCAGCCACGCAGGAACTGGAAAGTGCGAAACTTAGATCAAGAAGTGCATAAAACTAATCACCTGGAAAACCAGAAATGTTACCCTTTTTTGATAAATTTGAATTTCAGTAACACAGAAAAAGTCTCTTCGTGTGCTTAAAAACTACCCCTTCCGAAGCAGAATGGATTTCTGTCCCTCCGTCTAATTATTTTCATTTCTTTCTGTTCTCAAGCACATGGTCCCCTTTAAGGCAGTGTTTTATTTCTTCGCTTAGCCAAATCTGTGCCAGAGTTCTCTTTCCCTTACAGTACTTTTGTTAAAGACGAGACATGCTTCCCTTTGTGTGATTAAAAATAGCTAACTCAGAATTTCAGTTTGAATGCCATATTAAGTGGCAGATAGACTCAAGAATTCACAATATGTCGGTGTGTTAGCACATCCCTACAGAAAACGAAACCTCACTTAGTAAGAGGAAATAGTTTCCGTCTCCAATTTGGCCTATCTTTTCATCTCAAAGAAACACACTTAATGGATCGGAATAAAGATAGCAAGGTTCTGAAGTGTATTTGTGCTAATCCGCAGTGACACTTTTTATCTTCCAGGAGCACTCTTAGAACATTCTGTGCCTAATCAGTGTTGACTGCTTTGCAGATCTCAAGGGAGTCAGATGACAAAAGTAGGGAAAGTTATAGATTCAAATAGAATTGTAACTCATATTGACCAGAATAATTAATGTACCTCTTCTAAAGATACGTAGTTTCTTAAAATTACATTTTTATCAACATAATGGTCCGGAAGGACAAGCCCATCAGTTTGCCACCAGTTTCCTTTTATGCATTAGATCCAGGAGGTACAGCATCACAGATCACTGGCATCGCCACACTCACTGTGCAGCCACTGTGACATGAGGGCGCTGTGCACACGCGCTTAAGAGTACAACCGGTGCTCTAATTGTGAGGCGCTCGGGGTTCCCTGCGTGGGGAGCGCCTTTTCCACAAGGATTCCGGGTATCCAAGTGATGAGCATACCAAAGCATGTGCCATGGTGAAGGTGGTTCCCTGCAGCCTCCATTCCCTTGTTCCCAGCCCAGTAACTTGTCTGTAACTGCACGCACCAGGGGAGTGGTGGGGAGAGGAGAGAGGCAGGGATAGACCCGCATCACTCCCAATCCGGAAGAGACACTCTGGTGTTGATTTGAGCTTCCAGCCTCCCTCAGGCCGCGGTTTGGTCACAACCCCTTCCCTGAGCTGCACTTAACTTCCCGCCGAATGCCTGCACCACGCACATCTTGCCTTCAGGTGGTTCAACTCAGCAGTCTTTATACTGTGCTTTACTGCCTTTCAGGTGCAAGGCCCTCTGGTAGGCTCCAGACAAGACGCGGGGCCGCACCGCTCACCCTTAACTGGTAACGGGGGAGTGCCGGGTGTAAGAGAGGGTGTCTGGCACTGGGTTCTTACCGGGTGGACTGCCACCCACTGGGGTGCTGCTACATGCCCAGGTGCCATAGGAGCCGAGCCACTCCATCCCAGCAGCAGAGGAAAAGGAAACCTGTTGCAGCGAGCAGATTTAGAGGCTCGATATAATAGAGCTGCTTAACTCAAGGTCACGATTCTAAGTGCCTGCCATGAATGTTCAAACAGACCCAGAAACCAAAATCACTATTTATGTAGGATTCATAAAGCAGTATCCTGGACTTTTGCATTGTCCCAATGGACAAGGGACAACATTTCACTAACTTTCTTGATCATGTTAACAATGTGAACGAGTGCTCACAACAGGCCGCACGCGCTCTGACTGCACCGGGAGTAAGAAAGGAGTTTCGTCCCGGCTTCCCGTCCAGCCCAGACTGGGTGCAGATGTTCCTTTCCCTGCTCACCTGTGACACTGCTCCTGAAAGTGGCGTCACTTCTGCCCCTAGTACCTCAGCTCTTTGAAGCGCAGGACTATCTCCTCGTGTTGGATTTGCCAACTACTCACTGTTTATGGGAGCATAGAGAAGGAAATGTTTTTCGCCTTATCTCCTTGTATATAAACTAGAACTTTAAAAAGTGCGCATGTGTGTTTTTCATAAACCATCTTTCGTAAATTGCCTTCATAGTTTAAAATGTGCTTTTGTGGACAGGAGGGGAAAAAACTCTACATTTTTAAAGGCAGAAAATACGTGTGACACTGCCAATAGTCCCCTAAGCGGCGAGGTAGTGGGGATCTGGGGTCACCTGTGACACTGACAGTGTTAATGGAACTCTAGTGCTGACTTGTCAGTGTGAAGACAAATGTGGGACTGTGTCTGCAGGCAGTCACTGGGCTGGGTCTGTAAATGTAAGCAGCAGCACCCCAAGAAAAAGGGGGTGTGCGACAGTGCCCCTGTGAAAGGAATACCTGGCCCTAGACCTGCCCAGTGTTAACCACTAGAGAACGTTTCATTGTATATCCTTTTGTAATGCCTGTGAATTTTAACAGATTGAAGCATTAGACCAAAATACTCAGGAGATTTTCCTTTAAATATCCCTCAAATATTTTAGATGTGTCAATAGAAAGGGAAAGCTATCGTTTTTGTTTGAAAACTAAGCAAGGCCATCTTGTAAACCGTCACCAAATGCCTTCCCCTGTAATTATCCGTGGGTGCATCTTGGATTTCAGAAAACATTAATTCATGGGGTGGGGGGTGGGCAGAATGTGCTCTGTTATTGAAACACTGCTTGTACCATTTTCTCATTGTGCCTATTATATGTTAAGATGTTTGAAAACTTAAATTGTATGAGCAGCTTAACGAAAGTAGAACTGAAATATACATGATGCTTTCATACACTGTGGCATAAGATGTAAAGTTTGTAATGTTTTGTGAATTTCTGTGCATTTTAATATTCTTTTATAATTATAAGCATTTTAGTAAATTCATTTTTAAAAACACTGTGGTCTACTCTGTCTTCATGTTTTTAAGGAGAGCATATATATCTCAATCATCACCTAGATAACAAATGTGTGCTTTTGTGTAAATGATATTTTTCACAGCCTACACTTACTTTAAACATGATTTTTCTGGGGAAAAAATTGGGTGTGGGTTTTCAGCCACAACTGCTAAAAACCAGTTGTTGGGATTGAGCCCTGCCCAGGATACCAAGCCTGAGACCAGGTGGGAGCTGAAAACCAGCCCACCTCTGCTCACCACACCAGGTACGCCGGAGTCAGGCTGCGTCAGCAAGGAGGAAGAGGCATTTTTCTCTAAATACATAAAGTTGGCTTCTGTATGCTAAACCATGATTGCAGGGGACAGTGCCCCTCAGAGAGGGCAAGTCGCTAATAATCCCAGAAAGGCTCTGAACCTGCTGTGGCCCTGGGTACAGAAAGGGAAATTACGGAAAAGAAAATGAACATCTCATTATAAAAATCAATGTTTTTATCCTGTACAGCCTACCCAGATTTTAACTCATTCCATGTATATGTGTATGTATTTGATTTAATTAGCCAGCTTAAATCTCATTGGGCTTCCAGGAAAACTCTATAACTAGACCAACAGGAAGAAGTCTTTTCTGATCCTTATGTGACACTCTTGAGACCAGCACTAATGTTATTCTCACCGTTAAGTCTTTTAAGTTCAGCAAACGGCTGACCAGAAGTTCATTTCGTAAGCTAAGAAACCCCTCTCATTTGCAGGGGATGAGGAGATCTTAAATACAGTTGACCGTTCAACAACTCCTGTTTGACCTTGATAGGTCCACTTATATACAGATTTTTTTTATAATTTTTTAAAAATACAGTACTATAAATGTATTTTCACTTCCTTATGATTTTCTTAACATTTTCTGTAGCTTACTTTAAGAATACCATAACATACATGGGGCGCCTGGGTGGCACAGTCGGTTAAGCGTCCAACTTCAGCCACGTCACGATCTCGCGGTCCGTGAGTTCGAGCCCCGCGTCAGGCTCTGGGCTGATGGCTCAGAGCCTGGAGCCTGTTTCCGATTCTGTGTCTCCCTCTCTCTCTGCCCCTCGCCCATTCATGCTCTGTCTCTCTCTGTCCCAAAAATAAATAAATGTTGAAAAAAAAAAATTAGAATACCGTAACATACAAAATCGTTGTTAGTTGGGCTTGGCGTCCTGGTCCAAGATGGCAATATGGGAGATCCCGAATTCATCTCCCTCCACAGACACACCAAACCAACACCTATCTTAGAGCAATTTCTCCTGAAGAACAAGACTGACGGAACGAACTTTTGCACAACAAAAGACCACGAAGAGAATAGCAAGAGACCCAATGACCTGGTAACAAATGGAGCTGCCATCCTCATTGCAAACCGTAGTGAGGAGGGATAGTTCAGAGGGACCCTGAGTAGATTCATCTGCCCTTGGACACGAGAAAAGGCCACGGTTTACAAAGGCAACAAGAAAACACAGGAACCAGCCCTAGAACCCTGTCCAATAGCAGGGGAGCTGCTAGAACTCTCTCTGGGTGAGAGGCACTGGTGAGCCCCATGGTTTGCATTCACCCTCCACCGTGACAGCACAGACAAGAGCAGTCAGGGTGTCCTAGCCAGCCTGCAACGAGGCCCAGACCCCTAGTCCACCAGCCTCAAAGGCCAGGGGGCACAGAGAACCACTGCTTAAAAGGGCAACTAGAATATAAAGGATCCAGTCCTAGAATTCTGCCCAATAATAGAGTTGCTGCTGAAACTCTGAGGTGGAGAGGCTGGTGAGCACCATGGGTGGCATTCCTCCTCCACTTGACAATGTGGACAGGGATGGGGTCTGGGTACATTAGTGAGCCTACCATATCGGTGAGCTCCAAACCTACACCAGCCCCAGATGTCCCACCAAAGTGGCCCCCTTCATGGAGCACAGCAGGACACTGGTCAACACCCACTCCAGCTCCAGCCATCTCACAAAGGTTATACAGGTGCAAAGCACCCCAGAACACTCCCAGCTCATACCACTCTGGTTCTAGATGACTTGCCAGGGCACCCCCAGCTCTCACTTTGGC